TATATTATATACATATATATATATATATATATATATATATATATATATATATATATATATATTAAAAAAATTGGACCTAGTATGTTACGTTACAATTTTTTAAAGTAATATTTTTTTCCATATTATTATATATTCTGACATTATATTATCACACATATCATAGGTCCAATTTCTTTGATATAATGACAAAAATTAGAACCAGGTCGGTAAAACTGTTGGCTTTACGATAATTTTTATCAAAAATTGACAATTTTATTTGTACATAACTTTCACAACGTTATTTAAAGTATTCGTTAACTCCTAATAATTTAATTAAACATTGTCGAAGACAATGTCTCTTACAAGATTATATACATTTGATAGTTTGGAATCATAAATATATAATAACAGAGTGAACAAATAAAAACTATGATATCATATTTTTGATATTTATAGGATATGTCTAAACATGCATATTAAAACACATTATTTATGTGAGAGAGAGAAAATAATTAAAACGATTTTCTCAACAATGTAAAGACATATCCGGTCCAATTTTTTTTATGTAATGATAAAAATCAGAATCGGGTTAGTGAAATTGTTGTTATTACGATAACATTTGGCAAAATTGTGAATTTTATTGTTATATAATTTTCACTGCGTAAATTGAAGTATACATTAACCCACCATAAGTTAGTTAAATATTGTCGAAGGCAAAGTTTTATATAATTATTTACACTTGGAAATCTAGATTCACAAATATAATAACAAAGTAAAAACAAATAAACATTATATGTCATACTTTCATTACCTGTGGGATACTACATCTAAATGTATATATCGAAATACATTATTTATAGGAGCAAGAAAATAATTATAAAAAATTTTCTCAACAATACATATCATATATAACATAACATATATCGGGTCCAATTTCTTTAAGGTATTGACAAAAATCAGGATCAGCCAGTAAAACTATTACTTTTAGACGATTTTTATCAAAAGTAAGAGTTTTGTTGGTATATCATTTTCACTAAATTAAATTATAAATAATAAATAAAAATTAAGATTATTAATTGATGTATTTACTAACTTCTCATAAGTCAATTAAATATTGTCGAAGACAACGATTTTTACGATTATTTACACTTATCAATTTAGAATCACAAATATATAATAACAGAGTGAACAAATAAAAACAATAGTGTCATTTTCGATATCTATGAGATACTACGTCTAAACATACGTATTCAAATACGTCATTTATGTAAAAGCGAGAAATTAATTAAAAAAGATTTTCTCAACAATGTAATCGGGTCCAATATCTTAGATGTAATGACAAAAATCAGAACCTGTCAATAAAATTACTATTTTTAGATGGTTTTTAATGAAAATTAGTGGATTTTACGTTTATGTAATTTTTACTATGTACATTGAAGCATTCGTCTACTTCTCGTAAGCTAATTAAATATTATCGAAAGCAACGTTTTAAACAATTATTTACACTTCGAAATAAAAAACAAATATGATAAAATAGCGGGCACAGATATTTCAGTACCTACATAATATCAATAATATTATATGTGGGGTAATATACATCAGAATATATAATAGACAAGAAAAAAAGATAATTCTTTAAAATAATTTCTCGACAATGTAACATAACATACGGGATCCAATTTCTTTGATGTAATGACAAAAATCAAAATCGGCCCGGTAAAATTGTTAGCCTTATGATAATATATAATAAAATTGTGAATTTTATTGATATAATTTTCACTGCGTAAATTGAAGTATATATTAACCCATCATAAGTTAGTTAAAACAAACTTACCTTTTTAAAAAAAGGTAAAAAAAAGACGTTAAGTATATATGCTTCTCGAATAAAATTTAAGTATTCAACCCAATTAATATAGTAATTTTAATTTTTCTTCAAGGATATTCTTATTGTGAAGATTTTCTTATTCCAATCCCAGTAATGGCAACTTTAATTCTCTGCTAAAAATTATTACTCTTTGAAAAAAATTAATGTATCAAATGAAAAATTAACCCAGATGCTACAATCTTAAACTAATTAAGTTAAATTCTATCAAATTAAAAGTATAAAACACAAATGGTACTGTCTCTTGTGATTTACTTAACTCTAATGATATATCATTCGTATAAAAGATTTGATATCAATAAAATTGTTGCCAAGTTAAATTCCATGTAATTCGAATACTAAATTAAATAAATAATATTAAGTTTAATGATATGTAGCATTACTATAAAAGATTTCAAGAACTAGCGCCAAGTTAAATTCCATTTCTTTATACCA